CCCCTCTCTCTCCCCCTCCCTCTCCCCCTCCCTCTCTCTCTCTCTGTCTGTCTGTCTCTCTCTCTCTCTCTCTCTCTGAAACTGTCCAAGACGGCCTTTCAATGCGGAGAAAAGAAAAGCTGTTGTCGTAGACAGTGCACACCTTAGCATTGCTATAATAAACAAACGCAATATGGCAAATGGGAAGGTCGTTTGCACAGGAGAGTGTCTTGGTCAGGTGGGTGTTAGAGCAGGTTCGACCGTACAAGGGCACGTCACTTCCGTCTCTCTGACCGATCGTTTTTCTATAAATAACAACTGAAGCCATGTTTGACAGACTCACGTCGTAGGGTGTTCGTAAACATGCCTACTTTGTAAGACCCTTAACCCCCTCCCTCCTATACCCACTCTACCCACACCTTCTATTGACCATGGGCGACCTCTTTCACCTTGGGTTATTTCGTGGGCGGAAATAGTTCTACCGTGATCCGATGTTTTGTGTTTCCCAAAACTTGGAATGCCAGAGAGGATATAAATTATTCTTCAGCAGAGCATTCTTTGCCTTTCTAAGCATTTATCAAGACATCTCCAACGACTATGATAATAAGATAAGATAAGAGATAAGATAGTACTTTATTATCCCAGAGGGAAATTTTTCTTGACTGTACAGTACCGTAAAAAACATGAAGGTATACATAAAAAATCTAAATTATATATTACTCTCATTAAAATTCAACATGAAAAGAGAAGTAAAGCTGACAAAATGTACATATCACATCAGATGCATCATTCAACCACATGCAGGAATTTGATTACATTACAAGACCTGTGGAGTTATATACTCGTAGATACATACTCTAAAGAGCAATACACATTATGCTTATTCTGACGATAGCCTTATGCTAGATGGTAAAAAACGTCTTTTATATCTTTCTTTCTTTGTTTTTGGAGGTACATGTCTGCCCCTGCGTGATCTTACAATTTGCGTAGAAAATGGGTGTGATGGGTCGTTTATGATGCGTTTTTATCTTTTTTATAATTGTGGTGTTATACATTTCATCAATTCTAGTAAAATCGTATCCAGAAATCTTGCTGGCTTTCTTAATGGTACTGTCAAATTTTTCTTTGGGTATCTTTCACAAAATAATAGCACGCTTTCAATCATAGAATGGTACAAAAGGGACATAATCTTATTATCAACACGGAAATTTCTTAATTTCCATTTAAAATAAAAATTCTTTGATTTACTTTTTTATGCTCAAGAGCAGCGTGGAGATGCCAGTCAAGTTTGCTATCAATTGTTACGCCAAGATACTTGTAAGAGCTTACCACCTCCACATCTTTGCTGGTTGCAATTGGTCTATCTTTACTCTAAAGTCTATTATTAATTCCTTTGTCTTTTTTACATTTCTGTCTGCCCCGGTCATAATCAGTCGTAAGACACAATGTGCTATTTGGAGCTACGAGGCTCGAAAGGCTAAAAAGTGACTTTCCAAGAAATTTTGTTTTTTTTATCTATTGAAAGTTTTATGTTTTCTGCTTCATTTAAGATCAAAATAAACAACTATAATCTACAGTTAATATTTTATTTTGCTTTAATTTGTGTGTGTGTGTGTGTGTGTGTGTGTGTGTGTGTGTGTGTGTGTGTGTGTGGTTTGTTGTGAGCTTGGGTGACACGATAAAGGAATTTGGACCTCAAACCCTTTCGAGCATTTGACCTGTTGTATAGCTGTGAGATTATTTGTAGAACCATTACCTCATAGCCACATTGCGTCAACGTCCTTCATTCATCCCTATTTTTAGTTTTAGACCCCTTCTCGAGCAAGAAGGTTTGAAATATATAAACAACTTAGCGTCATTGTGAACGGATGAGGGCTCTGATTTGTTAAACGGGGTAAGAGCAGTAACGTCTAGCCCACTGCAAGCTTGTTAACGTAAAGAGCTCACTGTTTAGGTGTGCCCGGTGCCCTGCTAGCTCAGTTACGGGCTTTTGACTTTTCAGTTTCACACTTTGATTGACTTTA